CCCCCCCCCCCCCCCCCCCCCGAGGAAATTCCAATCCCTTCTGTGGGGGGAGTATGGATATTTTCTGGAACTGCACATTGTTTTTTTATTGGAATTTATCACTAAGGAGACTACTGAATCTAGTTGGACCACCAAACAGGACCACCAAACTTCCATTTTTACTTGCCCAAGAGCAAAATTTACTTGCCCTGGGCAATCAGACCTAGGTTGACCTGCCCTGTTTTTTCCTTTTTCTTTTGTTTGTTTGTTTGTTTGTTTGTGTGTTTGTTTTTTTTTTCACTCTCCACAGTGCCAAAAACCCTTCACCCTGTATGCTTAAGGGTTCATTAACCAATCCTTTCGAGCCATTGCTAACGAAAATTTATTCTCATATAACCTCATCATTTTTAGTTAGTTCAGAGTTATTTCATGTGTTTTAACTTTTTCATGATCAGTAACACCAGTGATGACATCATCAGGCCATGCCCATGGTCATGTGACTAATACTGAAAAAATGCCAAGGCTCCCAGGCAAATTACTTTATCGGGATTTTTTCATTGATTTAATATTTTAGTTTAAATCCTCACTACACTATGCATAGATTTTGTTTCACTTTAAAAAAGTCAGATTTTGAGAGAATTTCAAAATAATTATTAAAAAAATTCGTAATTTTCTGAAAAAAAAAACATGATTTTGAAAAAGGAATGCATAGCTATCTTTCCAACGTTGGCTTTAAACAAAATCTGTGAAAAAGGCTGGATTTAACGAAAAACCGTGTTTCCTTTAGCATTTAAAGAAACTGGAAGTGTGCCCGATATATATTGGAAGTTACCCTATCAACGCATGTGCAATTAACACTACCAGTGCACTTTGGTAAGATCAAACAAAGCCACGAGGAGTTAGTTTTTCTCTTTCTGTACCGCTTGTTTTTCTGTCTTTTTCTCATTTTGCCTTTGCTTGTACCTTTTTTACTTTGCATTTTGTGAAACACAAAGAAAAACATCTAAAATGTAAGCGAATTTGCAAGTTATTGAGTTGTTTCTATTTTCCGCCCTCAGGCTGATGTAAGCAGCCAGAAGTGAAATTTCATCTCCTTAGCAATGCACGCGAACATGCACCTAAATTGGTTACTGGGTCCTTAAAGGCTAGTGTACAGAATGGTGATGCAAGGCTACACAAAATCTTCTTACTGTCAGCATGATGAACCTTATTATTTTTTAATTCATTTTTGTTTAGTAGATGACAAGGAAAAGAAAGAAAGAAAACAGAACAGAACTAAAAGCCGAAGTAGAAGTAGGAGTAGAAGCCAGGAAAGTTCAGTTAAAATCAATCTGAAATCGGTTAAACACAAGTCTCAAAAGCGGTCTAAGAGTAAAAGCACAGACAGAGGTTCAGGGCATCGCCGTCATCGTAGTAGAAGTCGATCACAAGAAAAAAGGAAAAAGTCAAAATATAACAGAGAGAAATCAAGGAGGTCAAGAAGTCGTTCATCTAGTAAGAAACGATCAAGTTCAAAAAGAAATAAACATTCAAAATCTTACCGATCCAGGAGTAGGTCTCGGAACAGAAGCATCTCCCCATCAAATAAGAGGAAAGTAAGCCGCTCGTCCACCTCTAAAACCACCTCATCTAGAAGAGATTCATCATCATCAAGAAAGAGGAAGTTTTCAAGAAGCATATCACCTCATAAAGAAAGAGATCCCTCTTCTGAACACAGAAGAGGTAGATCACCAAAGAGACGTTCCCCTTCACCAGTAATGAAAAGAAAAGTTCCTTCTGAGAAAAACAGGAGATCGCCTAATAAAAAGTCATCAACCAAAAAGGTCAGATCTCCAGACAAAAGGGAACACAAAGGCAGCCCCTCACCAACAAGAAAATCATCTCATCGTACCTCGTCAGCTTCAGATAGCTTGGACTCTGGACACTTCACAAACATCCCTCTGTCTAAGACAAACAAACCAGAAGATCTTTCATTTGAAGACAAGGTTGCAGTGCAAACATCACCAGTGAAGGAAACGATGCCAGCAGTGGAAAAGTCGCCAGCAATTGAAAAGTCACCAGCAATGGAAAAGTCACCAGCAATGGAAAAGTCGCCACAACACGTACCTGTAATAGAAAAATCACCAGCAATGGAAAAACAGAAAGAATCATTATACAGTGTGGCACCGAAGTTGGAAGATTTGGAGAAACAACGTTCTCCTTCTTGCAGCCCATTTAAAGCCTGGGAAGATGAATTTGATTTTGTTTTCACTGAACGTTTGTCACCCAGAGAAGGAGCTGACAAGAGTGTAGAGGACGTTCTTTTTGGAAAAGATCTGTCAGATCCAAAGACTCCAGACTTTAAAAGAACAACTCATGAAGAAAGGTAAGGTTTCAGTTACATTGTAAGCTTGCTGAATGTAGCCTGCTGAACAGGCGGATTGGTGGAGCAGACTGGGAAGCGTGATACATGTACATGAGCACAAAGTGGGATACACGAGTGCATAGCGTGATACACAAGCGCGGAGCGTGACCACAAGCACGAAGCACAAGTCGAAAAAAATCTGCCTGTAGTCACACCATTGTTTATGCTCTTCCAACTGTTTGCCTGGCAAATAGTTTTTGCCGATTAGTTGCTTTAAGCCATGTGATGTCAGACACAAGAAAAAGCAAAATGGGTTAAATTGGGGTGACAGGCCTACACAGACTCCTACAGCTAGTGGCATTTGTACATTTGCTGTTCTCTTATAAATTCCAGCCTCTCGACCTTTCATATTGCTCCTCACTTGTTTCTGAAGGGAACTTAAAGTTGTTATGTTACCAGGAGGACTTTTTTAAAAGGAGAGTAGAGCTGTTGAACTGTCAAGGTCAGAGCTTGCATGGTTTCATTTTTTTGGGCCAATAAATTGAATTGCTTTGTTTTCACTCATTCTTTCATGCTAATCATTTTAAGGGGGTGGTAGAGCATAAACAATGGTGTGACTACAGGTGGATTTTTTTCCACTCGTGCTTTGTGCAAGTGGTCGCGCACCATGCTCATGTATTGTATTTCACTCTATGCCCTGCTAGTCTGCCTGTTCTGCAGGCTAGCCGAATGAGATATCTGCACTGTCTTTACTCACCTAATGTGAAATGATTGACGATCAGTATGTTAGTAATTGTTTTCGAACAATTAAATTCAAGATAATTGAAGAGAATAATAATTGAGATAAATGTGAGCAATTTCAATTATTTTAGGCTGCATTAAATTTGTTAGGGGTGGTGGATTGTAATTTTCGTCCTTTGTTTTAAAGAAATAATACTCAAGACATTGCGAAAAGACCCTTGAATTTTCGGGTGAATTTTCTTTGAAAGTTTGCGGAGACAAAGAACGAAATTCACACATTTCGCTCTCGTTACTTTTGCACAATACTGTACTAGACACTTTGGGTTGTCAAAACCTTTTGATCCAATTTTGAAATCTTGGAACCTTTGTGATAAGTCCCAGAGTCTCCTTTTAGTGTTTCTTTGTGTCTTGGAGTCCAAAATCAGTCTAAATTCTCAGTCCTTTTCAGACAGGGGTCTTGACATCTCAATTTTTCTCGGATTTTACTTCTTTTTTTCCTTTTGTCAGGGGCAAACATCAGACCTGTATTTATTTATTTCTCTAATATCCGACATTACAAGACATTGTTCAAAGTCTCTGTTTATAGCATACATGAATGGTGTATTTGGATCACTCTATCACCATGTTGTTTGATGATAGTAATGTCAGTGACGATGTTGACAACAACGACGATGACAGTTTGCATACATGTAAACCATATTTACTCAAATAAGCGCTGCGTTTGGGATAAAAAAGTTAATAAGCGTTGCAGCCCAGATGTGGTGCTTATCTAGGAGTTAGCTGTAACTAAAACTCTATTACAAAGCAAGTCTAACACAGCATTGGAAATTTATTTTCACCTAAAGTGACGTCCTTCAGTTCAAAATGGGTATATTTCACTGCTCCTCTATTGATTTTTCTGTTTAAAATTCTCAAAGATGACTGAAGACACCAATTGAAAATTGCACAAAGGGATGGATGGTGACAATAACAAAGATGCTTCTGCCTGTTACTGTTAAATTTCTCACAGATTGAAAATGTGCCTTTGAATTACAATAAAATAACTTCTTTATCTCATTTATTTTTATTTCAAATAAATGTCGCCCTCGAATAAGCGCCTCCCTCAAATAAGCGCCGCACTTGAGACGCTAAAATTTAGTAAGTGCCACAGCGCTTGTTTGAGTAAATACGGTAAGTGTGTTTGTTCTATACATGTCTACAAAATAACTAATTTTTCATGGAGAAATTAATGTTATAGATCTATCGAATGGTTTAAACATAATGGGTGTATGAACTGAGGTTGTAACATGAAATGAGTGATGAGTGTTATTCATAGTACGTACAAGTGAAGAGTAATTAATCTGAAGTGCTTTACCAGTGTCAAAACTTGTTGAACCATCAGTCTGTATAATAATAATTAATCATTAATAATAATTAATCATTGTTTAATAATGTGGTTTTTGTTTATTGTAAAGATGTCAATATGAAGCTCAAATATTACAGAGCTGGCTGACTCTATAAGAAAAATTAATTTGAGGAACTCACTACATGTAGTTTTCTTTTTCATTGTGATTATTTTGTCCTCACAATATCACAAAATTATAACGATGTGTTTAGGATACATGTACATGTATTTTATTCAGCTTCCATTTTGATAACAGATATTTCCTAAGAAACGTTCTGACTATAATAAGGTTTCATTATTGTCACTGCAGCATTAAAAATAAGAGGAAGGAACCACTTAAAGGTGAAGAGAAGAAAGAAACTAAAGAAGAAACCCTGAATGGGAACCAACAAGACAAAGTTTGTAAGGAAAATGATGTGCCACAAGAAATGGAAACTCAGCAGTCTGGGTTCTCTGACGTGCAGTCCAAACCTGAGGATTCTGTTGTGAAGGACAAACTGAATATATCAAAACCTGCAGATTCAAAAGATAACAATTCTGTGTTGGTACACAATGTAGTAGAAAAAACTACGTCTGTTGATACAAATAAAACAAATCATGTCCAAATGACAAATGACAGTGCAGCCTCAGCTCAGACATTGGAGGAATCTGATAAATTGACATTTTTGTCCTCTAAGCTTGAAACTATTCCTTTCTTGGATGAAGCCCCACCTGCCCCTCCCCCAGTAAGTGGAGATCGGGAACATCCTAACACCACAGCAACATCTCAATTGGGACTTTTAGGATCCCCTCCAACCCAGATGGGCCTCTTACCCACTCCTACTTTCGATGGCCGGCCATGGACAGGCTTTAGAAATCTAGCTGCTGTTACGAGTGGTAACATCCCTAAAGGTTCTCAGGGCCTTCTTCCAACACCTGGAACACTCCAAAAACTTTATTCTGGTAAAAAAGACATTGAGAAAGGTAAATTCGAGCCATTTGTAACAAGGAAAGAAGAAGGAAGAAACAACTTTAATTTAGTTGTAAGTCCCATGGACATGGAAATGTCATCGCCAGAAGGGGACATCATTGACAGATTGAATGAAGAATTCTGGAAACAGCAGCAGCAGAATCAAAGCAGTGTCAAAAAAACCAAGCAAGAAAAGCCCAAAGAAAAGTTTGTGGAACCTGTGATTAATAAGCAGTCCTTGTTTGAGGAGCCTTATGAACCTGAATCTGGTTTAATTATTACTGAAGACTATGACGAGGATTTGAACAACATAACTGATCCTAAAGAAAGGAGAAGGAGACAAAAAGAACGACAAAGAGAGAAGACTAAAGTACAGGTAAGATTAATTAAGCAACTTATTCTTAATCTCTTTTTTGATGAAATGACTGATGAAAACTTCTCCATTATTTAAAATGAACTTGTCATAATTGAAACTCAAGAATTCTTCCTGGTAAAGATATGAATTAGTAGTAGTTGGTTTACTTAAACTGTAGGATGGTCCGTGTGTGTTCCAACAACATGTAAGGTGGTTTGCAACAGTTTCCAACATGTATATAGACAGCAATTCTATTTTTGATAAATTGATAGTGCAACTCTTTTTTCAGTTGATAGTCATTGGAGGACAAGTTATAATTTAAATTATAGTCATTTTCTAGACAAGTCACCATACAGGTAGCAATGGTTTACGTCTAACCCTTTATATTTCAGCTTCAAGGGCTTATGAAGATTCAACTTTTTTCAAGTTAAAAATAAATTGGAGTGCATTTAGAGCCACCTTAATTTTTTTTTCTTTTTGTTTTGTTTTGGTTATTAGTTTTTGTTTTTCTTTAGTTTTCATTTTTATCATTTATTCAATCCACTTGTTTTCGAGTTATAAGCCCACAAAGCAAATATAACGGGTTACTGTTGCTATAATGGTAACCTTTTTTCATCAAAGAAAGGGCCATATGTTCAGCAAAGAGCAGCCATTTGTTTTGATGCCATCATTGTCAGTGGCACAACTTACTCACCCAGTGGACATGTCGGTATTTTAGGAAGCAACTTTTCTTGTTTTTATTTTATTTTTTTTTAATTTTTCGATTTTTTTTGTATTATTATTTTTTCCATGTCATTTGTTTTTTTGCTTGCATGTGTAATGAAAACATGTGACTACAGTGTACAGTATGTTGGTAAGATAAAGAAAGGGTGAGGCTTCCAATCAGTATACTGGTCAAAATGTAGTTCTAGTATAATTTACTACTCAACATGGAAAGTCAAATTTGACCTGGGCAAGTAGACGACTTCTTGGTTTTATAGATAACTAGTTGCCAACTGACAAGTGTAGAAAAATCCAATATATAATTTCCCTGATCCTGAGTGAAGCATTACATTTTATTATTATTCTGTTATCGCAGTACATGTAGAGGAATGTTTCCTTTTTATTTCTAATTTGTGTCCATTGTCATGGTTGTGTTCTTGTAGGAACTTATTGACAAGCTTCATCGCCAAGCTCGAGTTGAAGAAGAAGTGAAACATGTTCTAAAAGCATACTACAAACACAGGGATATCGACAAAGAGGAATACAAGAGTATCCTCAGAAGGGCAGTTCCACAGGTTTGTCGCAGGCATCCATATGTAAATTGTACACTAACCCTTGTACTATACATGTGGCCGTCCCATAGATACTTGGAACTGTAAGATTTGGTTCAATGTCCTGCTTCTAGCAAATGCCGTGTGGCCTTGTCAAATTATTCCAATCTCACCCCCCGAGCAGGGTGCGAAGAAAACCAGTTTTCAAGGTTTTTGTTTGGGCAAGGTTTTTCTTTTTTTTTTTTTAATTTGTACATTTATGGTCCACTCTATTGCAGTCCATAAATATGTAAAAACAGAACTTAGCCAATATTCAGCCATCTTGACCTCATGCTTGGCCAATAACCCATGTTAATAATTTATTGTGCTTTCTGTGTAATTTAATTGTATTCCAACTAAATTGTGTATTATTTTTCAGTAATATTTCCACTCCTTTTTACTCAGGTGACCAACTCCAACAGTTCCATTGACCCAGAGAGAATCAGATCCCTAGTGAAGAAGTATGTGGCTAAAATCAAGGGTGAACGATCCCATTCTTCCTGATTAGTACACTGCCCTTACAGTCCATTTTATTGTCCAGTCGTTTTAAGGAATTTATCACAGGAAAGATGATTCTTTGGCATTTACCATTCATACTGTAATATTCATGAACCTACATCTAGAGTTTCTGACTGCTACCTGCAAAATCCTTGAGGTTTGGGAAAAATGTAGAAATGGAGATAGTCAAGGGACACTGTAGCCTGCGAACAGGCTCCTGGTTAGGTTTTGTATGAGCTAGCCAAGTGTGGTCTAGGGCAAGCGGGATGAGCCGAGAGCGGTCTGCACTCCCATTTGCTTCCCTCGTGGACTCCCACTCGCTTCGCTCACCGAAGGTTTTTTCCGTCCTTGCTGGGAACCTGTTTGCAGGCTTGGGACAGTGAAGGTGGTGAGGTAAACCAAATTCATGTTTGAATGACAAGTTATTATGTTACAAATGCTGCCCTCAAGAATATTTTATTAGTTATTTGCTTTTTGCTAGTGCTGATGGAGACAGTGAGTCACAGTAAAATAATGTATCCAGGAACAATGAGGCAAAAAAGTCTGACTGGTGATATAGTTGCCTGTTGGCCAGTTTGCCACTTTAATTGAGAAAATCGATACCACTATGTTCAAAATGATGCTGACTTTATTGCAACAATCCCGTGCTGCTGTCTTTGTTTTTAGTTTGAATTAAGTGAGAGGTCATAATAACTAATATTATTACCTGGGTTGCTCATTTAGTAAACTGTGTAACCTAAAGTACTCATCATAACAAAGAAGTGAAGCTGAGAATTTAGGTTATGGCATGAATTTTCAATAATTTTGTCCATATTGTTATGGACATAAACCACTTTCAACATAGAGTTGTTAATAATGTTTCTTACAGTATGTAAAAGAAGTTGTACAACTTGTATATAGGTAACTGACCTTGACGGTATATATAGTCCTTATGTGCTTCACTCTCCTTTTGTAATCTGGGTAAAGTAGGAACTATAGCCTAGCAGCAAGTGGTGTAAAACAAACAAAAAATAGGTCTTGGAAAAGAAAGCGTTTTTCTTGAGAACTGTACTTGCGATAAGCAGTTATTTGAAAAAGAAATACTAGTTTATAGATACCTACACTGTGCATGTCCAGAAAATATCCATACCTACACCAATGGTGGTCATGAGAAATTCTGAGGGAGGAGGGGGGTGGGGTCTCAATAGCCAGATTTTTAAAGGGAAAGTGTAAAGGTAAAGTAAAAATTCCACGGGGGAAGGGGAGGGTATAAACCAAATAACCATCCTTGGTGGAGGTATAGATATTCTCTGGAAGCACACAATGCAAAACTGTGCATTACAATGTATTTTGCAAGGGATCTAGTGACTTGCTGGTCTACTGGATAATGTTTTCCACTGTATTTCTTTTGTTTAAGAACACTAATTTTATCCTACAGTAGACTTGTTTTTTCTTCAATTAATCAGATTTGTTTTCCACAATGGTTTTAACATAGGAGTCATTCAAGTTTGTGGCTGGACTACTTTAAGTGGCAATAATGTTTTGTTAACAAAAGTTTATCTTTAGTAATCAAAACTTCAATTTACTGCGCTTTTCGACAACATGCAAACTCTACTTNTTTTTTTTTTTTGCTTTTGTTTTGTTTGTTTGTTTGTTTGTTTGTCTGTTTGCTTTTTCAGTTGTTGGTTACCTGAAAGTATTTTTTGTGGTATAAAATTTAAACTCTGTAAGCTGTTTGTCAGTTTCCCATTTGTTGTTGAAAAGTTTTCCAGTGATGGGTCCTGTTGCGAATCCCATGGTTTTAAGCTACTACTCAATTCAAATACATCTTAGTGCATTATTTTATACCAGGCTACTCACTCAGCTACAGTATGTAGAAAGTGCTTAGATTGCACTGTACATTAAAAAGCAGATTTTCCTGTTGATCAAATGTGGTCTCACCATTTTTGTTCGCAAGTTCCATTCAACCACTCAGATTTACCTGATTACTTTATTATAAATTGCCAGTTTATAATTGTAGTAGCTTATGAAAACCTTTTCTATTTACAAGTTGAAGAAAATTCACCACTTAAGGGGCAAGGAAATATTTTGGGCGTCTCCCTGTTACCGGGGACAAAATATGGCTGCTTATCTTGTAACAGTCCCACAAGACACTGCAAGATGAGGCTCTTAAAAGTGATTTCATTTCTGAGCTACATTTAGACAGTGAGAAATTTGTCCCCAGCAAACGTCCTTTGAAAATTCCCACTCAGACACTAAATGCAGATTTACCAACAAAATTCACAAAGCCTGTTTGCCTCTAGGATGGTTGATGGTTAGGTTGCCATCCACAAAAGGCCGTTACCTTTTGCCTCCGTTTCAAAACGATTCTTCGTACAAAACCTTTCTTGATTTGCATGAAAATGATTATTCATATGAATGGTTTGGAATGAAGACTCGTTTTGACACAGGCAAGAGGCAACTCAGAAATGGCCTGATAGACCAATTTAATTCAGCCTAACAATAGTCCTCAGCACGAGGCTCTGGGAAATAAACCCCACAAACTCTTGTTATTCCCCAGAGCCTCGTATTGAAGTCTATTGTTTTAAGCGGAATTTTAATATATCGAAATTGGTCTATTTGCAACTGCACTGAAGTCATCCAATTTCTCGAGTACAACAGGGCGAGGCCTGCAACACTGCTGGCACTGGGTCCCAACTAAACGGATTAGGGACAGTTAGTCCAAATGAGAGTCTAATGAAAAGGAATTTTGAGATAAAATGAATTGCCGAATTTTTTACGACCTCTAAATGCGAGCGTCCGAATCTCCTTTGGAAAGCTACAAGTCAAAGCGAATTTTGTTATTTGCTTATTTATTGTCTTTCAGTTTCCGGACCCGGATGAATGGTATAGGCTTGATTACCAGCCGTTGTTCAGGATAGAGGCCTAGGGTAGTAGACTAGATTCGATAGCGGCAGAAATCGAACCTAGAAATAGTTTAATAGCTAAAATATAGTGTTGTTTCGTCATGAATGCCCCAAGTAACACCAAAATATTTGATTTACACCTCCTCTTGCGAAGCAAACATAAGCATTAAAGAAGCTTATAGGCTTCTGGAACGGCCGCCCGAACTAAGCATAAGCATAACCATAAGAATATCAAATCCTGGCGTTCTTATTATGCTTATGTTACAGCCGTCCCCACTAGCGCATAAGCTTCTTATGCTTTACTTACGCTTGTGTCGCAAGTGAGGACCCGAGCATGCATGTGTCCTCGTCCCCTCCCTCCCGCCCACTCCCCACCCCTCTCTCCGGGCAGTAAGTTCCGATCCGTCTCTTGATTGCCCATATTAAAAAAAAAAGGAGTAGAGGAGTTACTGTAGAGAGAAAAAGTTTTCCCCGTCACAAGATATCAGGCCTCGTCTGGCCTTTGGTCTGAAATAATTCCGCAAAAGAAAGAAGATTTCCGCCTCCCCACCAAACTAGTCAAACTTAACCGCCACTCTACCGCACACTTCCTGTTTATCTGTTCAGCGGTTGCAATCGAAAAATTACGTGGCTAAAGAAAATGGCGGCCGGTCGTGCCTGTGTGGCTTCGTCGTGACAGAACATGGTGTGTTCATCTGAAATGAGTCCGCTGAGAGGGTTTCCAAACATTGTGTGATGAGGTAACTTTAAAACCGTCGTCTTTCTGTGTTATTAGGTGTTTGATGTCGATAAAGTCATTGATGTTCGACGCAATAAAGACAATATAAAAGGCATACTACTTGAGTTCCACATGCCCGCATGTGGAATGCAGTCACTTTGTTTGTGTTATAAGTTCCTGCGTGTTAATATTATTTAGACATTATTAAATGGGTTTTATTAAGCTGTGTATTTTTTTGGTTTGTGAAACTCAGCTGTAGTTTTAGATGGGAAAAGATAGATAGCATTAATTCGCACTGGATGGAATGGTAATAGGATACAACACATACTTTGTCTTATGAGTGAGCTTAACCTTATGTTCCGTGCAGAAAACATGTGACCATTCCGTTTGATTTTACTGCCTCAACTGCTTTGTCAGTTGAAAGTAGAGTGCCTAACTGTAGAGAGAGTTGAAACTATGTATATGTTAATTTGTTTTAATCATGTCATTTACATGTTATAAAGAAGTGTGTGGCTTTCAGACGATGTCTGGAGTCAGTGAAGTGTTTATATCTGGCATTTTTTTTTAATTTTATGTAACTATAGCACAGCAGTACCAGTTCATACATGCACATGTTCCAAACATCAGGTCATATGCATGTATAAATCTTATGCTACAAGTTTTGATAATATGGCACTGCTAACTTATTTTGAGTCCATTAGTCATGGAGCACAGCAGTTGGTACGCATTGGTTTATCAGACTGGTGCAGTTCTAAATTATAAAACTGTAGCTCTGGTTTGCGGTGCAGGATTTGTACAGCAAGTTAGTAATAGTTTTGAGCATGAGTTTCGTTGCATCAACCTTGTGATACTTGCAACATCACTACTTTGTATGGTCTGTACTATTTCTTAGCATAATTTTAGGATAGCAAGTGATATAGTCTACTCCTGGCAGAGTTAAATCACATTTTAGCATTGCTGAACCTCAAGCAACATTTGCAGATTTAGTTCGTTCGCTTTAGTTTTCCCTCCTCTCCTTCCCTGGTTATTGTGTACAGACAATTCAAACAACAGGTTCTTTGATATTTATTATGTATAATTATATATGATTATGTTCTCTTACTCTTCAATGTTGGCAGAGTTTTGTCATGTCTGTTAGTCACTTAATTGTGAGAGAGACATCTAAACCAAGTTTGGCCAGTGACATTGTTTTGCCTTTGCTTTACTCATGCAGGTTGCAAAACAGGTTTCTGTAGTGGCCATTCAGTTTGTAAGAGAAAGATCACCCCAAATATACTCTTGACCACTTGAAACAATTTAATTTCACTCTTCAAAGCCACAAATATTATGAAAGAATGAGAGATGCGAATGCAGCCATAACACTACTGGAAAAATGACCTGAAAAAAACTCAGGCTCTGAACAGGAAAATTTTTTCAGGTCATTTTTCCAGTAGTGTTTATGGCTGCATTCGCATCTCTCATTCTTTCATTATTTAATTGCTACTGTTGGACATCTATTACCAAGGAATTCATATACTTGAGCTGAGTATTACGTCCACTGAACAAATAGGGCCAAACCTACACACGACCGCTCTCATGTGGCTTTGATAGCTCAGTTGCTAGAGCATTGCACCGGTAATGCAAAGGTCGTGGGTTCGAATCCCATTCAGAGCCTGAAATTTTTGCAGGTCATTTTTCCAGTAGTGTTATGGCTGTATTCGCATCTCTCATTCTTTCATTATTTAATTGCTACTGTTGGACATCTATTACCACAAATATTATGCAGATGTTTTTGCAAATGCAGGTCAATTAAAATCACTTCCTGGTTTTCAGGGAGTTACATCACTGAAAGTGTTAACAGTTGTTTGGTAACTGCTGTTGATAGGTTGCTATGGGCACTGTTCCACACTGCCATATCAGCTTCCTGTAACTATCCACCAATCTGCAAACTAAGGAGCTTTGTTTGTTTCAAATTAAAGAAAATCCCAAATTATAGTTTCCTTAGGTAGAAAAACACCATTTAGAAGTACATGTACTAACAGTGACATTTTCATGGTATGCTTACATGTGCACGTATTTCCTTTCCTCCTGATAATTATTTGTTACATGACAGTGGAATCAGCAAGGAAAGATCTTGAAATTTGCTCTCTCTGTCTTCATTATTAATACAGAATGGCAGCTTTTCTTGACAGTGATAGCAGTGATGGGGAGGATTTTGAAGGTTTTGTTGTTAGTCCAGAAGAAAAGGCGAGCTATAAAATATGGACAAAGAAAAGAAGAGCTTCAGTGGCATTTGATGACAACAGTGATAGTGAAGACAATGTGAGTGGTGATGAGGATGATGAGGAGGAGGACGACGATGATTATGACGATGATGATTATGAATCTGCTGAAGAAGAGGATGAAGGAAATGAAGGTAAACGTTGTATTTATGTTCAAATAAAAGTATGTCAGTGTATATGTAACTATTGTTAAATTCATGACCAATACGYTTAGATGAGCTTGGGGAAATGYCTAAAAYGTWGGTGGGCTCWGTTAYGCAGRATTCTTGTACTGCATGGATTTAACCTAGGTAGCTTGAGGCTGCAAGCAGAAATTTCCAGGTGCCAGCAGTGAGGAAATAAATTAAATAAATCATTTGAACTAGTTGTGAAGCTCAATGGTGGATCTAGGGGAGGGGCCCGGGGGCGGGGGAAGGGGGCAGTCCCTGCTTATTTTCGGTTTACAAACAAAAACTTGCAGAAGGGAGAAAAGCCGGCAGGGCAAACCACCCCCCCCCCCTCCCCCCACCCTTAGCTCAAGGTGTGGATCTGCCACTGAAGCTGGTGTAATAGATAATTTACATTTTCATAATAACAAACAACAACTTTGTGGAAAATTTTGTAGATTTTCTATCCTTGTTAATCAGTTTGTTTCAACCTAAGTAGTGCTTGTGACCCTTTACAATGTTTATAGTCAACAAATGTGGAAAGATAAAAGCTCTACCTGTATTTTAAAATATACATGGTGGTATTAATTTAATCCCCTTTACTTTCAACCTCTTGGCAATCAACACATGAAGAAAATGATGAAGTGGATGATGCACTTGGTGACATAAGCTTACAAGATTCTGGTGATGAGATGTTGTCCAGCCATAGCGACCAATGTCCTGTGTGTTTGATGTCTCTCAAGGAACAACTGCTTGGGACACCCAACAACTGTCCACATGTGTTCTGTTTTGAGTGCATCCAGGAGTGGGCTAAGGTGAGGAGTACACAATGGTCACTTTGGTTACAGGCAGCTGACTTTGCTATAAAGTCAGCTGCCTGTAGCCCTCTCTTGTCAGTGATGATGCATGGGTTTTCAGCAAAATATAATACATGAAGGTGGCCTGGCAAAAGATGTTGGTTAATTCAAAACCAGACAATAAATGTCTTTAAGTACTGTACTGTCATGTAAACTTTTTGCAAAGTAAGTAAGTGTTGTTAAATTGTTGTTTCGGGCAGACAGGAATAATTATCACAAGGTTATGGCTTTATTGCAGGATGATGAAATTTGTTTTTAGTGACAACATTATTTTTTTGGGCAGAATGCCACAACTTGCCCAGTGGGACGCAAACCATTCACTGAAATATTGGTTCATGCTACAAGGAAGGGGTCTGTCTTACAAAGGGTAAGTACTATACATGGTATATTAATTTGCAATTAGTACTTATGGGAAAAAAATCATTGAAAATTTTCAATTTGTGAACTATTATGATCATCACGTTCTTTGACATGCATATCCTTATTATTAACAGTTAATTGAGTAATTAAATGACTTGTGACATTGCAGAGATCGTACCAGTAATTCAGTAATCTTCTCAGTGAATCCAGTTACATGTACATGTACCACTTTTTAGCCAACCTTTGCTCATCCTTTGCAGTCTCTCAGCTATTCAGGTTTCTGCTCACCCTCCCTCCCACCCCAGGGCTTTGTTTCCCACATGTGGCCCTCTGCACCCACCTGAAAAAACGAATTCCAAACAGAGTCTGCCTTTGTGGCTGTAAACGACCTTCAGACAGCCTCCAGGGTTTGGGGAGAGGAGGTTACTTTACAACTACATGACTGTGACAGCGGTAGTTAGTGATCATCCGGGTGAGCTCTGCCAACACAGTGACACTGTCTGTCATTACAGTAAAGGAAATGTTGGTGCATGGGGAGAGAGTTAATTAAAGACCCTAGTAAACAGTGTTCCTGTGTTGGTGACAACCTGTGCATGTGATGTCTGTTAGTGTGGGAATCCTAGAAAACACCTGTAGGAAGGGGCTACCTATTCAACCTGTACTGTGCCCTTAATTTCCACTTCAAAGCCTCACAATTTTCATATGGCAACTGATTGTTCTAGGGAAGTAACTACAGGAGTATTGGAGTTGTATAAGAGCGGTTAATGAACTGAACTGTCTATACTTTAGATTCCAGTCGAAGAAAGAAAAGCCAGTGCTGATGAAGTGGAGGAAGATCCTACTTACTGTGAGGTGTGTTTATTGGATGAGTGCAGGCAGTGCTAGTTACGGGTTTCATTGAGGGCTTGGCAATTGACCTGCTGTGAGGGTGATTTTGCCCGCCTGGTTTGACCATCTGGAGGAAAGTTCTCCCATAAAGAAATTCCAAAAGTTTTGTCTGTTTGTGAAAACCACTGTTAGTTAGTCAAAATAACTAAATAATTTCGGATTATACTTGAAGTTATAATGACGAGTCTAAACCAGAGAGCAGTTTTGGACACTGTTTGTGTAGTGATTTACAGCCAATAATTGTCACTAAGAAAACGCGGATTTCTCTTTAGCAAATTAGCAGTGGAAAGTGAGGTGAGGGATAGTTTATTAAAACCAATGTTGAATTACCAGAGGGTGCACTCACTGTTCAGAAGAGGAGTGAATAAGAACAACTGGAGACTTTTGATACAGAGCTTTACGTAGCCACGGAGCCTCAATGTAATGTGATGTAATGTAAAAATATAGTGGTCATCCACTTAGTTATACAAGCGCTTAGCTTAGCTAGTTTATAGGCATGCCGCTGAAACAAAGGAAACAAGTATTTCAAATAACGTAACATAGTTAAAAATCCCAACTGGCAAGAGGCAGACTAGTTGGCTATTTACAAAGCAGGACTGAGGATTTGAACTCGGGACTACTGAGGAACAAATCCTGCTAGTGGCAGGGTGGAGACTTTGAACCCGAGACCCCCGGATTACAACACCAGCGCCCTAAACCACTCGGCTACCTTGCCTCCCTCAATTTTGCTTTGTTTTCGCCTTTTAGTCCTCTGTTTTCCGTTTCTCAATTTTCTCGTGGATATTCGTTATTGTAATTAGTTTCGTCACTCCCAGTTATTTTCGGTTACGTAACGTTTCATATTTTGGTGCACATTTTCTTCATCTATTGCTTCTATTGTTCTGTATAGCATCTTCTGCCGTTAATTTTTTAGTTGTTGTTGTCAATGTGTTGTAGTCGTCGTAGTCGCCACACAAATCGTGTAAGTTTCGTTATTTTTTCCGTTATTTTTTGCTTGCTTCATTTATATTTCATTTGGTTCCCTGTTCAGTATATTTAGCTTGTTTATGTTTGTTGTCGCCAGCATAAGTGCGAATAATTAAGTCCCGTCCACACTACACGCCGAAGGAATTTAAAAACGGAGTTTTGACGCTTAAAGCGAATCAGATGTTTTTCGTCCACACTGTGCCGGAGGAATTTAAAAACGCAGCAATCACCGGTCATTTTGGTTTTGTGTTTGAGGAAAACTCAGTTAGGGATATCATGGGAACGAAAAGCCGCCGTTTTCAATTTCCTTGGTTGTAGTGTTAACGCTGCGTTAGGTGTGTGGAATTTGACGACACTTTCTAGCACTAAATATGGCTTTTAGACTTTTCTCAGTTGTAATTTAAGAAACAGCCGGTTACCTAACACAAGACTTAAGACCACATTATACAGAAAATAAACCAAAATGAAACTACGGACAAGCCGAACGATCTAGAGTATAGCTGTCTAGTAAAAGTTCAGGTATACCGTAATCTCTATCTCTCTGGACGCATTGCGGTTCTAGGACGCGAGATATTTATTGATCCTTCTTGTTTCATCATGCAGGTGTGTGGTGGCTATGATAGAGAAGACAGAATGCTATTGTGTGATGAGTGTGATCAAGGGTGAGGCAATGTTTTCACTACATTCTAACTACACGCTATTTACTAAGCATAAAATGTGCATACATTTACATAAACCAGGCTTTAAAATCATCAGTACTGAAAAGTTGCTAGGCCGCTGTGATCTCGTGAATGTCAACTGTCACGCGATAGATATCGAGAGAGAATAACCTAATTGTTACATAGAAATCAACAGGGAATAATACGACGAGAAATAGCTTCTTTAAAATAAATATATGTGGCTCGGTTTTGGAAGTTTGTACCCACTGTGCACTACGTACTTTTGATTCCCTCCTGTGTAGTTTTCACATGGAATGTCTGACTCCGCCTGTTGAGTATGTTCCCATCGATGAGTGGTATTGCCCTGCCTGTTCCTCTCAACTAGAGTCCCACGAACATCCCGAGGAACTCCCAGGAGAGGGACACGCAGAGGACGGTCTGAGGGATGTACCACGTGTACGGGCCACGCGTGGAAGACCACGAGGAAGTACTGCGAGGCGCGTTTCCGATTTGGGACGAACAGGTTTGGTTACATGTGTATGATCATGTTTATCGGAAATCCTAGAATTTAGAGTAATGATAGCTCTCCTGTAACTCCCAGTTCTTTTAACTAATAGCGGAATCAGTTGAACATTAGAATGTCGTTGTTCAATTTACCTAGCCTTGTTTAGCACACATTTTGTGCAAAAATACGTTTTTACAGGACGTTTCCTGATCGAAGAATTGCTCAAGGAAAACTTTGTGAATTTTGTAGACCAGTCCGTTCACGGGAGAAAATATTTGGTCATCCTGAATTATGAAACGGAGTACGTTTATTTGGAAATGAGGTACATGTAAGTTTAGCATAACCTGATGGTATAATTCTGTCCTTGTAGGCACAACTCGAAGGGCTCGAACCGTTGCCTCTACACGAGGACGAGGCAGAACTCAACGCGGACGGGGACGGGGGAGAGGACGGGGAAAGAGTAGCAGTCGAGGCCGCGGCCGAGGAGGACGGCGGTCAAGTACAAGAGGTCGACCAAGCTCAACAACAACAGGACGGAAAAAGAGACGAAGAAAGAAATCAAGTCGAAGTAAAAAGACGACGGGTTCTTCACGTACAAAACGAGGCAGAAAATCCTGCAAAACGAAAACTCTTAGGCCAATCAAGAGGAGACGCATAGCCGAGGAAGATGAAGTGTCCCCGTTTATTTATGAACCTGTAAGGCGTGGCAGAACAGTTCATGCTCGACTACTAGAAAGTTTGAACTCACCGGGTCCTACTGCGGAGTCCGGGCGATCCGCGTCCCTAGGGAGAGTGCCGTTCCCTAGCAGAGTCGAAGCGAGCTCGAGCTTTTCGTTATTTGGGAACGCGTATGCTTTACATGATTTCGCTGATGAAGAGGAAGACACTCGAGAAGCATCAGAGGTGGAAGACAAGACTACAGCTTGGAGGTAAGAAACTATCACACTCCATGGCTGGCTCCGAGGAAAATAATGTCGATTGCTTTCCTCGAGGGACAGTCGATAAGTGATTTGAAACTGCCCAGAAAATACGTAAAATAACCCAAAATTGCTTTTCATCTGTGGCCGTCGCAGTTTTATTCACCTTTTTAGCAGTATCCGTACGCTAACAAAACATGGCAAGACAAAACCATGACCCAGTTTACTTGGTTTGCAGCTCGGAATCAGCCAACCCAGATGTCCTGGGATCCATATTTCAAGGCCTGGATTCTTTACTCAGTTCCAGTACCAAGGTTGCACGTGATGGTAAGTTATTAACAAGCGCTGGCCAGTCGGTCTCTAAAGGATCTTCAAGCTCAAATGCTAAGGCAAGCAAGGATAGCTTAGCTTCTTGTGAAGACGAAGTGAAACTTAGCTCTGATGTGGAGATTACACAAAGAACCGCCGTTGAAGGAAAACGTTTAAAGGAAACCGACAAAAGCTCAAAAGAACCTGATGTCGCCATGCACTCCTCAAAAGACGAACGTCATTCTGATAACATGTGTTTTCGTGAAAATATATTTGAAAAGGTTTCATTATCAAGGACTGCTAGCATGCATGCTGACTCGCGTAGCGTGCTCTCAGATACAAGTCGCCCTCAGAAAACGTTTTCTCCGTCGCCTGTAACTGAAAGGAGATCTTCCTCGCCGTCAATACCTGCATCGTCGAAGTCTGCGCTTTCCAGTTTTAGAATTCCAAAGCGGAGTTCGAAATCGCAAGATGAGCCGAATCCAGCGTCACCAAGCTTTGATGTTGGTTCTCCTCTCATTAAACAAGACCCAAGCCCGAATTCCTTTATTTCGAAATTTAAGATACCAAAACGAGCCAACAGTATGTCTTGCGATGATAGCTCAAAAAAAGAGTGCTCAAATACTGGTGTTAGAAAATCTGTTGGACAGACTTTCCCAGCGTCTTCAACGTGCAGGATTGACCAAAAAGTGTCGTCGTTACGTTTTACCTCTCCGAGCAAAAGCGTTACGTATTCCAGTTGTGTCACGGTGTCAAAGACTGCGAAAAGTTCTCTTACGTATACAAATAGTGTTAGACCTATGGTGCAAAAGAATGTTCAGCGGAAAAATTCCTTTAATTCATCAACAACTAGTACTGAACCTAGCGTGACCAATTCAGGTAGCGTCATGAGAAGTCACGCAACAATGATAAGGACGATAAGTAGCAACACGACTCTCTCGGGTGCTGCCATTTCAACAACAACATGTGTCCCTCCTGTTAGTGGTGGTGGTAGCGCTGCTGCTGGACTCAGCGTGACCAATTCAAGTAGCGTGACTACATGTCAAGCAAAGAATGTCACGCAAAGTCACACGTCTACCGCGAGTACTACCGCACGTAGAGTAACGAGTTCGGGTACAGCGACGGCATGTCACGTAGCGAAAGCCAGCGATATCCTTCCCACTCACAGCAAAACTTCATCCAGCTTGACTAAAGTAACGCCTTTAATAGATCATTTAAAACCGGTAGAAGGAAAAGAACAACGTCGCAGCAATATCGAGATCATAAAAATGCTGCAAGAGAAACAGAAAAACATGAGGCAGCAGTTGTCATGTGATCGTAAAGGTTCAACTAGCTCTCGCCCCGGACACAGTGGCAAGGTAGACACGAACGCGTTACCGAGGAAAGGAATTCACGTTTCAGATAAATCTTCGACTTGTTCACGCGGAGTTTCGCTACCAGTTGCCATAGTGAAGCCATCGCCTCAGGTTCCAAGCCTGGCGGTAAATGCGTCAAGTGTAATTCCGGGTAGCAGTATGCAGAACTCGCCGGTAAAGAGTATTGCAAGTGGGATTATCGATGCCCACAGCTCTAACACGTGGGAATTCAAGCGAGTGCGTTCAGCATCCGGTTCTTACAGTGGACATGAAATGACAGCAGGGAAACAGGACGGGACGGCGACAAGAACTAATGGCGACAGAGAGCAACAAAGAAAACTGGTAAGAATAGGGAACGGGTGACCATGTTACACACAATGCATCTGTATGGGGTCAAAAAAGCAATTTGTCTCAAACAGAAAACTTGCTGTAACCGCGGGTGAACTTCCCTACTAACAGCTAACTCTTGTCCCACAGTGCGTGCGCGTCCATCCACGCATTCTACTTATAGAGAGCTAGCTACAACGGTAAGAGAGGATGCTAATCCCCTTGTAGGCCTGTTAGGATCCTGCGATGGACTAGTATCCCATCCAGGAGCTAGTAGAGATACTCCTAGTCAGCTAATGTTACAGACACCGAGATAAACTCCAGCGATATGGACCACTCGTTCGACGCAGACTTTACTTTACAGCCCTTATTCCAAAGGTAATCCCACTCAAGTTATTTTTAGATCAATCCCGATTCCAGAAAACCCCAGGAAGGCCCTTAAATAGTCAATCCACGCGCGTGGACGGCCCCAAGCAGCTTCACACACATTTTCATTCACCACGAAAACATCCACGTAACACGCGTGGAAACATCCGCGAAGAACTGGGTACCATGTGTAAAATAACTCGAGGGGGATTACCTCTTGAGTAAGGGTTATATAGGGGATTAACTTTCCTAGTCTTTCTCGACAATGGCTGTCTCGGGGTGGCCTCTGTAGAGATACTGGACTCTATAATGGCGTCTATGAAGCAGTCACTTCAGCTAGGTACCTTTGATAATAACTTAATAAATTATCGTCATTAGGTGAAGAAAGGCAGGGGCATCAACAATCGTAGGGAATAATTTTGTGTTGTACAATAAAACTCTGATTGACGAGCGACTTTTAATTACGGATTCTTTTTGGGGGGAGGGAGGGGCGAGGGCAAAGAAAAGCTTAGTCCGTCAAATTGTTAGTTTTGATTTTGGTGGCACACCATGTCTAGTGGAGCTGAGCATGGCTTTCAGGTGAGGATTTTATACCACATTTGCACAGACGAATTTATAAGGATACTTAATTCATGACTGCCCAAAAGTCAACATCAAGGGTAATCACAGAGCCCTTAGGGAAACAAGAATCATTCATAATTAGCGCTATATAAATTTAATTATTATTATCATTATTATTATTATTATTATTAATTATTATTATTAGTAGTAGTAGTAGTAGTATTGTGAATTATTATCATATACACGCTGGAAAAGTCACGTGAGCTTAGTTTGATTCTACAGTTTATTGGCTGTGTGAACTAAGTTTCATTTTGATTGGCTTAGAGTAGACGCTGAACGATTCTAGGAGGTTTATTTCAAATGGCCGACATCCTCAAAACGTCAGCTGCTCAAGTGGACCACGTTTGACTTTGCGGAGGTGTCACCGATTGGTCTAGAGTGTTGTTGTTGTAGCTCGAAATTTCTAAGTTTAAGCCCTATTAACTCCCACTAGTGGATTGAACTTTTTTTCTGCCTTATCTAAATGACTTGCATTGCTTTTTTTTTTGTTTGTTTTTTTTGTCTCTGCAGGGAATAGCGCGACTCCAACGACATGAACAAATAGTTGATGAAGTGAAGCTAGCACTGAAGCCATTCTTTAAACATGGAGAAATCAACAAAGATGACTACAAACTAATAATGCGAAAGAGTGTGGAAAAGGTTTGTGGAAGATCTTTCTATGATGTCCTGCTTCGGTCTCATTCTAGAAGGTGGGACACCAAAACATTAACAGTATCCACCAGGGACCCCTTTCTTAAAAGTCCTGGTAACTTTACGAACCCGAAGCCATATTTTAAGATCTAAATGTAAGGAATAGTGGGGCGTGTTTCAGCTCAAAAATCAGTGGATTCATTTTTTGTTTCCGGATATTTTTATTGTCTGAATTTCAAAACTATGAATGTCTTGATTGTGAATGTAGACACAACAAACAAAAAACAGCTTTTCGGAACCGGTAACTACCGGGACTATCGAAAAAGGGACCAGGCCGGCAATTTTGTTCATTCTTTTCTCCTGGCTACTTCATAATCTTGTGACGTTCTAAGAAAAAAAGAACGATTGTAGAAGAAATTGGCTGTCAGTGTGCAAAGAGAGTCGTGTCCGATAGACTGGAGTTAGTGGTCCTTCACTTGCCTGACTGGCAAGAGAAGTTTCTTGGGAATGACTTTCGGGTTAGTACATCATAGTCACAGCTTGCCCGAGGGGTAAGCTTGAAAACTGGTTTTCTTTGCACCCTTCCTGTAAAGCTTCTCTTGAAGGGACAAGACGAACTGAATCCTGCGCTGTTGAAGCTACATCAGGTATCTTGCGAGCTCAGGTGACGCTACTCTTCAGAGAAGCGTTGTGCAACGAGCGAAACACGTTCTTTACCGTGGTCCGTGGTCCGTACAGTTTTTCTCCATGCGGGCCGTCCAGGGGCTGCAAATACCGTGTTTATTTATCTCTCTACGGTATTGCTTTGAAAGCAACCATTGTGTTGAATCAGTTAATTAATGCCGTTCAATTCAAATGTGGCATACCTGTGCGTTTGACATTTGAAATTCGGGATCCGGATGACAAAATCCGGACCGCTGGAGCGCGCGTAATGAGCTAAGCAGATTCAATTGAGGATTCCGGTTGTATTGCTGAGAAGCTGGAGAACAAAAAAATAAAATTGAAAGCTTCTCCAATGCCTCGTTTGCGAAGTGAAGGTACTTGTCTCCTTTAAAGGTGACGAATATTAAGTTTATTCAGTGTCATCTTTAGTAAACGATTCGAAGGTTATAAAAAGTTCGTAAAAAGATCGGAAGCCACTGAATGTTCAAAGCCTTCTGTTCTCGTCTGCAGATTAAAGAGTCCAGTAGCAGTGTGGACCGTGACAGAGTTTGCCGACTTGTGAAGAAGTACATTAAAAAAATCAAAGGCGTCTACTTCTCCAGTTCACCTTAAATTTGGCGCCGCTAGATGTTTATTTAAAATCACATGGAGGAGCATACTTGGACTTCAAGCCCTTAATTGGTGTAAAATGTCAGTTCGGTTTTGTTCATGGTAGCACTCGTATATAGACATTTACTTTTGATAGATTTGAACATCTAAGTAAGCTGTAGAAAAGCCCTTCATGAAACTTTCAAAATATCTAAATTTTAAATCTATTTTCTTAGCTTTGTAAAATATTTAACTGAAGGTACTTTTCTATAAGTGTTTCAAAAGGGTCAATGGTTGTTTTTAAATTTTAAAATATTTGCCTACGGATATATCCCCATAGATTTTTATAGTCTTTTGTCAGCGACATATTCGACAAGGTTTAATTGCTGGGGAATGGTTAGGCCAGTTTCTTGGCTGTAAAAGTATATGCTCTCCGCATGCTAGAATATAAAGCTCGATCTCTAGTAAAGAACATTTGCGAGTTGTCTCGTGCCTCAGTTTCAATTCGAGGCCTCGTGCAAAGCCTACTATATGGATACCTGAAATTATAGAAATCGATTTGCTATGCGTGAAAGGTTTTGCAGTAGGACTAACTTTCGAACAGAAACAAGATTGCAAGGAACTGTCGAATTTCCGTTTGGCTCATAGAAGAGGAATGTAGTCACCGGGCTTATTTCGTTACCATTTGAATAAGGTTTCAGGAGAAGCCTCCACTGAAAGTTGTTTAGTTTAACTGCATGGGTTAAAGGAAAAACCGGTTTCTGTGGCCTTAAAGCGGTCTTGTTCCTTTGCTTTTATAGTGCTTATATCGCAGCACTAAGAAGGTACATGATTCCACTGCTGTGTTCTAGGAAAGTCAAGTTTTGTTTTGTCTGTAAGCGGTGTCTCAAAGCAGATTGGAAGTTAAGTTTGGTTATAATCAAGAACTCACATTGAGGTACATAAGTAACGCATGATTCAGATATAGATTTATAATACTGCTGGTGATAGTTAATTTGTTTTTGTGTTTTAATCATTCTGTTGGCATGTTTTGTAGTGCTAGATGATAATTATAAGAAACACCCATTTTTTCGGTTTTTAAATTTGCGAAATCGTTTTACTATTTTCACTACCGTATTTGTAGAGTAATATAATATGATGTGGAAAAAAACCTACCTTAATTCTTCCCCAGAAACTAAATGATATATAATTAATATATTCTCCGTCTGCCACTGCCAGCGGTCTTTCGCTAAGTATTAGTTTAGTTGCATCTAGCACACACTCTCATTATTGTTTTTGTCCCGTAGTCATATGTCTAAAGGCCCATTTACACAGGCGATTTTTGTTACCCAACAAACGATGTAATAGACGAATTTCGTATTCTCGGTATTAGACTGGAACTAGCATGCAATGGAGGCTTATGCGGGGGAATATCATTAAAAAGAGATTAATGTCATTTGCATTTGAAAAAACTCCCCGTGTTAGCCTCCATTGCAAGCTAGTTCCAGTCCAATACCGAGAATAAGAAAACGGTCTATTTTGTGGCGCCGAAATTACAAATTCAAAAATCGCGCGTGTAAACCAGTGCGATTCATCGCGAATGGATTTCAGCGATTTTGGATTTGCAATTTCGGAGTGACAATAACTGCTTTAGGTTGCGTGAGAAAATCACCTCTATAAATGGGCCTTAAGTTGGCTTGCATATTATGTTGCGTGGGTCATAGTTACTTAACCCGGGCTTTCGCGGGTTGTAATGCCGGTTTTGTTCGATAGAATAGCCCTCTTTTCGTGCTTTTGTTTCCTGCTGAGTAAACAGGTTTAGGAGTGATCCTCGTGAGTTTATGACTGAAACTCCCGGTGACTTAACTGATGTGTGATACGCGGAATTTAAGGACATGTGTTAACTGAGGTCGGCAGGGAATTAAAGACAGGGAGATCTTTGCAGCTTTTATAGCTACTTTATGAATATTAAGAAAGTCTGGAATATCATCGTTCAATTATTATACAGTTTATTTGGCCTAAAAGCCTTCATTAAAATGCAATCCGTGGACACTAACACTAGCTTTACAGAAGATAAATAGTTGTCGAAGGTTATTTAAATAATAAATTTTTGACTTGACAGAGTTTACCGTAGAAAGTACCTATTGAATAAAAGTTTTAAATAAGAAGCTTTTCCTTTTTTCGGTGCTCTCCTATAAAATATCTTAGAAAACGGCTTTTTTATAACCCATCATTAAGTAAGAAATCGCCAGTCGACTCAGTTATCAACTGGCCATCTCTAAGCTGTACAATCTTATCACAGTCTTCTATGGTTTTGAGTCGATGTGCGATTGTGATCACTGTTGAGTTTTTCAGTTTTTCTTGGATTGTTTCGTGTATGATTTGTTCGGTTTTGGGATCTACATGAGCAGTCGGCTCATCCAAGATGACTATTTTACTCTCCTGCAAGAGAACACGAGCGAGACAAATCAACTGTTTTTCGCCTGCACTTAGATTCATTCCTCTATAGTTCAATATGCAATCCAGCTTCCCTTGCAAGGTTTCCACCAATGGCTTCAGTTGGACTGTTTCTAGTGCATCCCACAATTCAACATCACTGTGTTTTCCCAGTGGATCAAGATTCTTTCTCAGGGACCCACTGAACACAACAGGGCTTTGGTTAAGGACAGAGATGCATTTCCGAGATTCTTGAACGTTCAAATCGTTTACCTCCACTCCATCTATTGTGATTTTTCCACTAGCTTCGGGCATGCGCAGAATAGCAGCTATGATACTTGATTTTCCAGCTCCAGTTCTACCCACAATTCCAATTTTGGACTGTCCATCGATATTCAAATTCAGATTTTTAAGTACTATTGGTCCTTCTGGGTAATATCTCAGCGACACTCCAGTAAAGGTTATTTTTCCATTCGTTGGCCACTGTTCAGGCCGCTGTGCTGTTTTCTGGTATCCTGGCTCAGATTCAAGTTTAGTAATTGCCATCACTCGTTCTACTGACGTCATTAAATTCTCGACCTCTGAGGACTGTTGAACAGACACCTGGGTAAAGTGAGAAGTTTCGATTACGTAGACAAAAGCGAGGCCAACCAGTGCTGTAGAAAAGAAAAAGCAGGCACGTCAGACCTCAGTGATCAATTAAATCGCGGCTTCAGATGTCTTACTAAGGGACAACACAAGAACAGGACCATGCACAAACCCAGATGTCTACACACATGGTCGCATTGCCAAACACTATCTAGTGTTACTTTATTGCCCTCTGCGTTTAATTTTCTGTTACGTATTTTTCATTTCTTTTTGCTATGAGATAGTCAAAATTACCGACGTTCACAATTTTGTCCATTGCAGCAAACTACAAAAGAAACACAACCACGAACGGCAGCTTGCGCAATTGCGACTGTTGCTATTGATATCTGCAGGGACCGTCATATCCTTAACTTGTGCTTTTAACTTAAGAAAAAATTACGTTCGCAACAACTCAATGACAGCTTTTCATGGACTTTATGTTATTTCATGCCATGCCAAAATGATTTATGAGGATATCTGAAAAAAGTTCATACAATGGACGAATAGACTAAAAATGTTTCTGTTCAAATTGTGTTACCAAATGCCTACCCAAATTGAAAAACGTTGAAATGTTTTTAACAACCCAGCCTGCCTGCAGACGTCCGATATGCATTCCTGTCTAATTTGTCAGCAGTTGAGGTGCCATGTGCTATTAAATATTGCTTACCACTATTATGAGAATGCAGTGCTGCGACTAAAGCCACTGCACCAACTAACAGAGCAGAGAGGAGATCTAATCTTATCCCCAGCCATCGAGTTCCAGCCAATACCATGTAGTATACACGGCTATGAGTGTCTTGGTATCTGCAACAAAAGATGACACAATGAACTGGGCTTTCTTAAAATTACACGTTATTTTCTCCGTGCCATTTGAGTTTGGAATTTTCTACTTTCATATAAGGGTACCGCACGGCAGTCCCCAAAATAAACCAAGTTTCTCTAAACGTTATAACAAGACAAAACAACTTCAACAGTGATCAGACGTACATCAAAATAGGAGATCGTTCTCTACATAATGGAACGAAACTTATGCATTTCGACTGCGAGGATCATACGATGAGACGTAATAATACAATCTGGTACGTGTTTCATTTGTTTTGGTACTGTTTGGTACTGAGTACTCAACTGAAAGGGAATGTTTTACCTTGTTCATCGAGACCAACATCTACAAAATTAATGTCTCTTTCTTCTTTGTAATTTTTGTTTTTCACGATTACCTAAAACCATCTTCACCTGAAAAAGAGGTCAGCAAATTCCTTCTGTCTTCCACGGGATCGAATGGTGTCTAATCCGTCCAGGGTTTCGGAGATCTGTGTCAGCACAGGACTGCGGCACACGCACTCTAGTCTCTTAAGTTCTCTTGATGTCCTCATGAAGTATCTTGCAATGTACACATACAATAAGATAAGCGGTACAACAACTGCTGCAAGCCACGCATTGGCAACCAGGGGAAGAAGTGCTGCACTTAACACAAACAACACTATTTGCACTGCAAAGAGGAACGTCTTGGGTAAAACTTCGTCCATACAGCCAATGTCTATAGAGAATCGATTGAGGATTCTTCCAATTGGATTTGAATCAAAAAACAGAACCGATGCTTTTAGGATGGCTGTCACCATGTCGTTGTGCAGGTGTTCTGAAGATTTCAGTACCACCAGGAAGAACGCATAGGCGCGTAATGTTGTAAGAAGAACAGCCGCCGCCACACAACTGACGTAGATGCCAACATTCGTCATGTCCGTTTGGTCGTTGCGAGGGAGTGTTGTTAGGAAGGAAAGCCACAGATCGGGTGTAACCATAACTCCTACAACAAAAGTAGGTAGTAAAGAGGTAGTTATAGGCTTCGGCTAAAGGTACACATCAAGAAATCACCGCTGCTCCAAAAGGTGTCATAGTACTAGAGAAATAAGTCGGCTGGGTACTGTTTTGCGATACAGTCACTTATAAGCAAGACAGCAGCTTTTTTTTAGCTTGGCGCATCGGTAAAGAAACAGGAAATTAGTTACCTACTTTCCCCATAGCGTTGCTAAAATCTAAGGAAAACATTAAATTTCTAATCGCCATAATTACAAATCTTACGAGTTGGTCTAATCTAAAGAGGCTTGTTAGAGGAACGCCCTATAGAGTAAAATCCGTTGTGTTTTGATATATAGCCTTACCTTGACAAAGAAGGAAGATGAAAAGCAAGCCAGCTAAAGCGATGGGGTGCACCCCTGCAGTTAGGTACTCCCAGTACAGCTTGAAGGACACTGCTCCGATAACCCGATCCTCGTCTGGAATCTCCATACTTTTGATCGTCTTTTTATCAGAACAATGTGCCTTACTGGTTGGCATTTGTTCCTGGAACAATTTTTTCTCTTGGACTGCATTGTTGTACGGCCCTAGAATTTCTTTTAGTGTCTCTTTTTCATTAAGTTCCATAAACGTCCCTTTATCGATCATTGAGCCGTTGTGCAAGACAATCACTTGATCTGCAAGTTTCATGTGTGACTCTTGGTGAGAAACCATTAGACGAACTTTGTTTGACAACAAGCCAAGTATGCAATATTTAAGGATGTGATTGCTGACATTCATGTCGAGTGCGGCGAGTGGATTGTCCAACAGGTAAATATCACAGTCGGCATACACTGCGCGTGCCAAACTGATGCGAACCTGCTGACCGCCGCTCAACGTCTCGCCTCGTTCTCCAACAATAACCTGGTCCTTATCAGGAAATCCTTCAACGTCGTCTTCTAAAGCGCAAGCTCTGATGGTTCGGATGTACTTATCGAAATCAAATGGCCGACCGAAAAGAATGTTCTCTCTCAGTGTTCCAGAGAAAACCCAAGGCGTCTGTGGCACGTAAGCGATGGTACCACAGCATTGGATATTCCCTTCAGTAACTGGTATCTGACCCGCAATTACTGACAGAAACGTTGATTTTCCACTTCCCACTGGACCAGTTATAATAACAAAATTGTCATCCTCGTCTTCAAAGTTGATTGACTTCAATGAAACGTATTGGCCATCTCGCTTGTATGTTAAGTTGGTTAACGTAATTCTTTTGCCTTTGTATGGCCATTTGGCATCTGCTGTTGTTTCGAGTTGTTCGTCTTCTTGGCTGAGTCCCCGATTTGTTATTCCGAAAGACCCGTATCCTCGGTTTTTGTTACCTAGAATATCTGCATCCTTGGTCACGCTGTGAGATTCCTTCAGAGCTTCGCTGAAGTGTAAGAATTTATCAGCATTGTCAATCCTTTCAGTCTCAGAACACTTTTTGCCTAGCAATGTATTGCCACTAGCATTGGTTGCAGGTTTGTTATCTGTCGTGCAATGGGCATTTGGCAGCAGCAAAAATTCCTCTATTCTAGCAAATGATACGTATGCTTCGTAGATAAACTGTGATCCTTCTCCTATTGATCTCAAAGCGCTGTTTCGGAGGACATTAATAAGCGATAACAGGGTAAAGACGACGAACGGCGTTAAGGGATATCCACTAAAGGCAAGCGTCAAAATAGAAATAAAAGTGGCAACAAGTCCTGAGGAATACATCAGAGATATTGCACATGACAAAAGAATACTCTTGCGGCGAATTATTCTCATCTCAACCCTGAAAAATAATTGTAAAGCATATTTCATATTACTGAGTTGTCTGAGATTTGGTTTGATTTGCTGACTAGCCTTCGGGCCTGCCTGATCTGAGCGAGATGCGATTGCCTTGGTTTTTGGTTTTGCAAGAGTTAACTAAATGAATTCTATCTATTTGAGATTAAACATTTCTGTTTAACTAAGCAACAACTAGACAATCCTTTTCCACTAACCTTCTAGTCTCCTTTATCTGATCTCTAAAGAACCACTCCCACGCATGCGTCTTTACTTCACGTATTCCAGCCACCATCTCGGTCATGAGATTTATTCGCCGATCGGATATGACAGCGGTCTTCTGTCGAAGCTTTCCAGACAGGTATGACAGAAAGCCACCAAATGGGACGAGAAGAAACAAAAAAATGATTCCAATGAGCGGCTGCCAACCAGTGAAGTACCATAACAACGGAACAGCCACACAGACATCAAAGATGGCGACAAGGAGGCGAAAGAACTGCCTGGCAGCTTGTTCCATTCTTTGAACATCATTGGATACCAGATCAATCACGTGTCCCTTTGTAAACTCGTTGAGCGTGTTCTGACCAAGGACCAATATCTACAGGAGAAAAGCTGCAGTGAAATATTTCATCCAAGAAAACATTGCTGTGCCATCTGACAGATCAGCTATGTTTTAGCGTCTGTGTTAAACAATGTGATGTCATCTATGGGGGACCAAGTAAACAAACGGATATTACAAATAAGACATAAAACTTTTAAGAATCCCAACCGTTGGTATTGACCAGTTGAATCTTTGAAAAAGCGGTGAATAAGCGTGGTAGCGTGCCTGGAATGTTGGAGAACATAAACTTATGACGTTGAGAATTGTCACGTGACCAGGCATTCTGTTCTAAATGTACGAATAAATAAGATGTTGCTAATGTGCCTCTGTATTGTTAAGATATCATTCGTTAAAATGAATCTTACTTAGACAAAAGAAGGTAGTGTGTCATTTGAAAGTAAAACTGACCTTCTTGAAGATGACACCTTTAAGGGAGGCCTTCATTCGCATCCCAATCACGTACAGTTTAAAGCTGCTGTGATGTACAGCAATACTCTTCATCAACACAATCAACAGCATCAATGCAGCACAGCCACAAAGCAAGCCTCGCCCCGGCGTGTCGGACATAAGTGTAGAAATGAAAACTCCCACGAAAAATGGCTGAAGAAATCGACCCACTGAGTCCAACAGCCCGGCAAAAGAAATTATGCTCAGGTCTTTGCGGGATAGAACTTTCATTGCACTTTTCCATAGTCTTGGTTCTTTTCCTGAAAGACTACCCTCGTTCAAATCTTTACTCCACTGTGACTGCAGCCGTTTTGTCTGTAGAGACGTTTGGTCTTCTTCATGCAGTGGCCAGAAGTCGGCTTGTTGCAAGGGACGCTGGTTTCCAGTTTTGAACAAATCGTTTGTCCACCAGAAGAGGAGGAAAGAGATCAGGTTGGCCTCGCTCTGTGGATGTATGCGGTTGACGTATCCGCGTTCTTCGTTCATTGCCCTGAGTAAAAAACAAAAAAATGCAGTAAACAAGGAGGGTAGTTATCATTTTTACCGCGCGTTTAGAATAGTGTCTTGGATAAGACAAATGACGTTATAAAAAGTGGCCGTCGGAATATATTTTCTCTGCTGTAGATAATTCAGTTTTACATATTTAACGATCCGCTTTATTATCGATGTACTTATTCATTTAGTGTCTTTTAGACACTGAAATAAAAGTTATGTAGTTATGTATGTATCTAATTTATGGTACCTTTAGGTACATTTTTCTCATACCAAACGATCCAACTCCTTTGATAAGTATGGCCGGGCCATGTGCTCCATACCGCCGGAGTTAACCCGGTTTTTCCCGGTTTCCGTATCATAAGCATAACTTTTAAAAGTCAAAAGCCAAAGCGCGTCCGCGAGCCTTTCAAGCTATTTCAACCTTAAAAGATCGGGCAGTCTAGTACTGTTCCTAAATTTGACCCTTGCGTCGGGGAAAAAAACGGTAAATTCTAATACAACTTGCTCTCTCTTCCATCTCCAGTGGTGTTTTTAAGCTTATTTCTTGAATAAGCAAAATTGCCTAGCTATTAATAATTTTCGTACCGTTTTGACCAAAAATGAAGCAAATCCTAATGATATTTCTCCCTTGACTTCCTTCTTCTTGCCTGTGTTCTCCGCGTTTTTCAAACTTATGATGGACAAAAATTGATCAAAACGGCAGCCACAGAGATGATCGACTGCATTTTCATTTGTTTTGCCTTTGAAAATAATGAACTGAGCATGTACCACTACGGTCAGCATCCTACAAGATAGAAACAAATAGCTCATCTCAAATGCGCCGATTGAGCCTGTGAAAAGGCATTTAAAAGAGGCCTAGGTATCCGAGTTATTCTCGAAGATGGTGGAAAACTGTAACGAGTGAGTGAATTTTCTAAGTATTTCCCACACTAATGTATTCCACAAGCGTTACCAATTACGTTACGAAGCGTCAACCAACGACGTGGATTTTACGATTAGCGTACTTTTGAGAACGGTGTTGAAGAAGTTAAGGCTTCCAGTTAAACAAAAGCAGGGACAGAAATCTTATAAATGATTGTTGTCAACCAAATTAAGATTGGGGCCAGTTTGTCCGTGGTTACCCCCAGTAATTGTTTCCCTGATAACACCCGAGGTTTAAGCAAAAATGTCCTAAAACCTCTCTCGCTCCTTATACACTCGACTAATAAACTCACCAGCGCGGCGTTTTCATAAGGAACATGTTGTACATTATTTTGAGTTTCGAACTCCATGCCCGTTTTTTACTCAGATTATACCAAATGTTTTCATTTCACCACAGCCTTCATGTCACTAGTCACAGAGATCCCGCGTAGTCTGGGTTGTCAGTTTGCGAAGGCCAGTCAGTAACATATTTTTTTCTCTGTAACATTCGGTAAGTTTCTCTAAATAAAACCGGATAGAAAATAGCCCTAACAAAAGTGTTGGAAAATTATTGGAATTTTGTTGGTCGCTGTACAAGACTAATAAACTATTTTCAACTACCAATATTGTCCTGGCCATGAGGTGCTTCACGTAGTTTACTGCAAAGAGGCGTAAAAACACCAATTCTAGACCGCAAAATCTTGTAATAGTCATGGAACAAACAGTTATTCTATTAGAGAATTAAACAGAAGAAGCAACAAAAATTCAGGTGATTAACACAGCAACAGTAAATAGTTTTCTGCCTGTTGCTGTCCTATCGCTGTGCACGCTGAAGATAAATAATTAAATGAACATGATTTTCGTAAACCTTTGAGGGCTCAGTATACTGTGCGAATAAAAAAGAAATCAAGCTGGATAAATGTGCGGAAGATGTCCAAGTAATGAGGTACTACACAGGCTGTATCATAAATAGTCTCACACCGAAATAGGGTTTGGCTGCTGTTTGCCAATGAAATATACGGTAAACTGAATATTTCCTCGTGAGAGATTTTAGCCGGAATGTTTTAACATCCCCGCCATATGTGTGTACATGTGCTAAAAAGTAAACTTACCTTCAGAAAGAGTTATGAAAGGCTGATTTGAACAAGTGCGTCCTTTATCTTCAAATATCAGGCGATTAATATGTCCCTGGAAGTCTGGGACTAACCAAATCTCTCTTCAAACACTTCGGCTTACGTCAATGAAAACAATTCAATCAAGAGCTTCTATCGTTCACGTGTCGCCTTTATAATGACCAAATAATAACATGTTTTAGCCCATCACAGGCAGTGAATACTGTCCGCAGTCTGCTAAACGTACTTTGTCGGACAGTGTTTTGAATGCTATATGTCATGCGCAAGTTTTTAAGCCGGTTAAAACTTTTCAAAAAACATTTTTTTTTTTAATTTCTTTTTTCCTTTCTGTGGAAGGCGTCGAGTTAACTGATTTGACGGCTACGAGCAAAGCCTTTTTCCTATTGTCTCTCGCTGAAAAGATAGAAAAGGAATCTCGATCTCGCGGGGTAACGGGCAAGTATAAGTGCTTAAACCAAAGGCCCTGAGTGCTAACCTAAAGTTATGATAAGTCAAGTCAAAAATGAAAAGCAAATTTTAGTGAAGAGAAAAAAATTAAATAAAACCTTTGCATGTCGCATACATGAAAACAGGCCCCGAAATCGTATAGCTTGTTGTTGCGGACATATTTTGATTTGCAAATCACAATGACCTAAAAACACTTAAAATTAACTGTTTCTTACCTAGTCGTTTTCCCATTTGAGAGCATATTTACTTCTGGGTGAATAGAGCGTTTGATTTACCTTATCAGACCCACACTTGGGTTCAATCATCTTTGGTTGAGGCTCTTTAAGTCGTTGGCTCCAACATTACCACGTTAGAGAGAGCTCGAAATGCAAGTAGACACTCTAAAAATTCGTATGCAAAATGTTGAGCCTATTGAAATCAACCTAATCATAACACAGGAAAGATCAAATTTATGCCAAGAGCTTTCGTTTAGTTTATGTCGTTCGAAATCGAGCACTCGATTTGAATTGGCTCACCTGCAAATCTCAAAATTGAAAATTGGTTCCTAGCAAAATAAGCAAACTTGACATTTCATTTTCATAGTAACTTATTAAATGTTGAGATTTGTTTAATTACTGAAAAGGGTTGTTTTCTTATGAATTTCATAACAGTATAATCAATTTAATTATCACCGAGTCGATTCGATTCGATGACTATACAAAATCAAACAAAGCTGTAATAAGCCAATCAGAACTTCGAAAAAGGGCGAGAAAAGTCAAAGAGACCCAATTTCGATTGTTGTAGTTAGTTTGCTAATAATATCAACTCGGTTTTTGTCGACAGTATAGAGGTCGTGACAGAGGAAGAAACGTTGTTGGATTATTCAGATACTTTAAATCTTTCCTGGATTGGTTCCCTTTTGCGGAGCCAGAATCAAACTATTAGCCGACGATATCGTCGGGTGGCGACTCCGCATGTCTCGTTATATTCCCACAGTCTGCTGCATGGCTTTGGTCTTACAGGGAGAATTTCGGATAGAGATATCGTTGTCGGCTAAAAATCTTCGTTAGCCTACTATTCCAATTTGCTTTCAAAATTTCCTTTTTCCTTCGTTCAGGATTTAACTTATTGCCTCCTGTCTACATGTTGTCAAAATACAGGGAACAGCGCGAGTTTGTTTGTTAAACATGTCTGTTAACCGTCTCGTCATTTTGAGTTGCCTGTTTGACCTGGCTTCGCATAATTAAGCAAGATAAACACTTTTTTCCGATTGTTAATTCATCCACGAAACATAGAATTTAAGCGACATTGAGTTTTTGAATGAATTAATAAAAACTTGGTTATTAACCTACCGGTCACTATAGCGTGATATATACTAGTTTCGATACCACAAGTCTACATACTAGTTACGCAACGCTTTCGAGTAGGATACCATGGAATATCCTACGAGTTGCTTGTCTTTTCTCGGTGTACCTGCAAGCGTTTAGGCATAAGTATTTTATACCATGCCATAGAAAATACAGTGGCCAGCACAATCAATGCAGTACACTAAGGAAACGATAGGCGTAATACTGTCAAGTATACAATGGCTTTCCTATATTTTGATTGGCTGTTTTTTCTATGGCGTGGGCAGTAAAAACTCTTAATTTTAAATCACTCGTAACAACATCTAACGCTTTTTTTTTTGAAGACTAAGAGGCTAGACGTCTCAACACCACCAGTACAAAATAAAAGTCAGTGAGAAACATTTATCAGCTTTTTCAACAATGCCTTCTTGTGTATAAATAACTTTAAGAAAGGAAATCTGATATTGTCTGTGACTATTTAGAGAAAGTTTTTTCTAGATAGGCAGGTTCCTATCTTGACAAAACTCGATGAAGAGATCGTTATTCCAGTCAAAACGGCTGGAAATCGAACTTGTATCGATAGTTATTAATTTCTTAACTGAGCCGCAACGAAATGAATCAGTTCCCTGAGCGGCCCAAATTTTCGAACACCGAAAGGTGAAGTAGACCGCTCGAAAATGAGTCTCCTAAGAGTTGCTTTTTTAAAAAATTGCACGAAGGAAAACAGCTTGCTGCTACGATTTTTGCCCTTTATCTCTGGAGGGCACTATCCGTTACGGCATTCACAATGGTGGCCTGAAAAGGTGAACTATATGCCTCACTTTGGTGCGCAAGTTTAGAGAGAATGGATGACGAGGACATGTTAAAGTATCATTAGGGTCTCAAAAGAGCCTTTACAGGAATTGCCATAGTGGGAAAAAAAGGTCTAGTTCTTGTGTGCTAGTTTGTGGACCTCGTCTTCGGTTAACGCGATTCGGTTGATAAACATGACTCTGTACCGTCTCCGTTACTCCGAACATAACTTAATTTACAACAAAAAAATTCAAAAATATTGATGACATACAAGGAAAGTCCATCCTAAAATTTGCTATCATCTGTAATTAAACGAAATTATATTTGGAATCCCGTTTAAATATCGAGAATCAGAATTTACTTTTGCTAATATAAAGACTGCTTTAAAGCAAATATGCAATTTAGTCACTTCATAATTATCTACATGAAAGATATGACTGCGTTTTGAAAACAGAATTAATGAAAAGTTCGAATTTTGCACCAAGTGAGCATCAGTCTTTACTTTTACGACTCCAAATATCTGTAAATCATGGCTGGGTGTTCGTTGGAATTTGGAATATCGGTTTAGAGGATATCTACAAATTTGTATTTTTGGAAGTGAAGCATTAGCAAGGATACATCAGATTTTCCACTGATAAGACCATTTTCCTGTAGCTTTTCTTTTACTGTTACATGACTTTTAGTTGAGAAAGTCTTCTAAATCTCAGATGGCGAAAAGAGCCTTACCTGTAGTTCCACAAGTCTGAAGAAAAAGAAAACGCAAGAAATGATGTTTGCCAAGTTTTTGTTAATATCTTATTAAGTATTCAGCGAGTGAGGCAGCTATCTTCTTCTACCCATTCTAACTTTCGGGATTGTCGCTTGAACCTTTACGCTTTTTTTTCCCGACGACCTTTCTCGAAACAGTTGCATAGTTACTGCACATGGTCTCGTCAAGCATCAGGGTTACCGAGCATCAGGGAAACAACAAACAAATCAAATCATTGTTTTTAATACCTTTAACATGTTAATTGACTATTTTATTAAAATTTATTTTGCACATTTCCTAAAACGATTGCTTTAAAATAAATATTCGAGCGCAAAAAGTAGCATTTGATCAAAAGTTGTCGCTTGATAAATTGCTTTTCTGATTGCCAGAAAACACCTCAGTCGCATATGTGAAGACAATCCCAACTTCGTTCCCAGGTCTTTTCCCCAATCTGTAAGGGGAAGGCCCTGGGAACGAGGTTGTAGGCAATTCCTTTTTTTCATGAATCTCCTGTAATAGATGCGTGTCTGAGGAACAAATGAGATATTGAAAACTGGGCTTGACTCGACAATCGTTTGAAGTGGAGATTGGGCTTAAATCAATCACACGTTGCACCGGAGGGAACTCTGGAACGTTTCTGATTGGTTATTTAGGGGCTGTCTCAGTAAAAACCACCCACTCAATTCCGCATCAAAAACAATTTTGCCTGAAACTATGGCAAATGAAATCTTTATCAAGGTTAGAATAAACACAGCTCTGCTTCGATTCGAAATGATTTTCTAATCGCGTCAGCAGCCTTCTTTTTCTTTGTCAGGACCCGTCGCGACTTCTCCAAAAGCATACAATTGACATTTTTTACGGCGCTGTACAATATTTCATTCGCCACATCTAACATCAATCTTTTGTCTGGTTACTAACTGAAGCATGGTTTTCACCTATACAAAAACAGAAACCGAGACGCTTGAATTTCACCAAAAAAAAATTGTTTTCATACTAATTAATTGCAAAAAATTCAGAAATATTAAATTTTATACCATGCCATAGAAAATATAGCCAATCAGATTACAAGAGTCGTTGTATCTTTGACGGTATTACATTCAACCTTCCCATCATGCGTCGCGCGCATGTCGCATTGATTGTGTTGGCCACTGTATTTTCTATAGCGTGGTATAAAATAGTGATGCAGCTCTCTTTCCCCTGGTATATGGTATATCCACGTATCACTTGTATTTTCGCGGTGTACACACTCGCCTAAAGGCTCGTGTATATACCCAGAAAATACAAGTGACTCGTTGGATATTCCATGGTATACCACTAGAAAGCGTTACATGACTATTATATGTTTAAAAAGGGTTTCATTACTGGACTTAGGACTTACATTTTCCCTAGTGACTTACATAAATTCGACTTGGTGTATTCAACAACAACAACAACAACGACATCATCATCATCATCATCATCATCATCAACAACAACAACAACAACAACAACAACACCAACATTTATTTATACCATAAGAAAGGGAGAAAGAATACAATCGTTTTCCAAAATCGTAACTTACTATTCTTTTATGTTCAGTAAAACAAAAAACCGTTAGAATAACAAATATGACAATTTAATGTTTGTTCTTACATAACAATCAATTAAATACAAATGTATACTTTGTTTCTTTTACCCGGTCTTTAATGTTCAAAACAAACTCCGCTCATACGTTACATTTACAACAATCTCCTATTTTACGCCACTGTAAATAAAAAACCTACTTGACTATCTTAATTTAAATCGCAACAGTAAAATGTTCCAATAAGCAATCTTGCCGTTTTGTCGAAAGTTTTTAAGCGACATAAAAAATTCAAAATACGAAATCTCGAGGGGTGGGGAGAGGTCCCTTAGAACGTTTGAGAGAACTTGCTGAGATACCTGGCAATACGATTGCTGACATTAAAAAATTGATCTATAATACGAAATGAAAAAATCAAGACTAACTGATTTTTCTATTGAAATCTGACGAAATCTAATCAGCGTATAATGGTTGCTAACTAAAGTAAAAAGGAAACGTATAAAATATAGCACAAACCCTAATTATTAAGTAATTATATTACTAACATTAGCAAACACATTTATTAACTTAATTAAGACGTTTTTAGAGCGATTTTCAATTGAGTGACGAAAGAAATCATCTAATTACTTTGGTTTTGGTTTTGGTTTTACTATGGTTGAAGATTGACTGAGTACTCTAATTGCTAAGTAACTGGTTTGGTTTTGGTTTTATGACACTCAATTGAAAACTGCTCTATAGACGTTTCCTAATTGAAAATAACAAGAGCAGAATACAAATAATTAGCTACAAAAACGTAACCGCACAAGTTGCACGCGCCTAAAGGGTCTTACGCTTTTGAGAGAATGTTTTAATAACACTCGTAGTGAGTATCCTTAATTGCACTCGCATCCGTACGTTACCTGGCCTACAGAAATCCATACCATGTAGCCTAGGGTATTATGTTCTTGAAAACTAAAAACTATCATTGTACCACCTAGTTAAAGCACATGAAACGTATGACAAGCTAAACTATTTAGCGTTATTAGAGGATAATAAGGTTACTTGTCGTGACTCGTAACCTATGGCTCGTTTGTATGGAAACCAATGTCATGCAGTTTAGAAATTACCGGCTTGTCACAATTTCAATACCTAAGGGTGACAACTAAATGTGGGAACTGTTTTACTTGTACGTCAATGGAAACTTTTTCTTGACAGTAGAGTAGCGTACCTCAAGAAAACATTCTACTCACAAAGCAAAGTTCGAAGCTTTTGAGCATTTTACACCTTTCGAACTGGCAATAAGTAGTAGGATATGTGGGGCGGGCTGTTTAGGTCTTGAACACGTGGGAGTTAACGGAAAAAATCAAGTGGACCATCCATATCAAACGTCAAAGTCAACTTTTGAACAGTGATGGACGCTGCGACCTTCGCTCCCGTATTCAACCATTTATCGCCACGAGACTGAACAAGGTTACCTGGCAACTGAGCAAAATTATTAACTATTCACTTGCTAAATGAGGGCGGTGTAAAACGGCCGGAAGTTTGAAACTCTCTTAGAAAGTTTTAAAAAGTTTAGTTTGAAGCAAAGGAGTATAATATGGCCACGACTAGCCTAGCATCTTCCAGTTCACGGTACTCACATGTTCGCCGACTTGCTTCAGGATCTTGAGTCTTAAAAATGATAAAAAAAAAAAAAA